TCAGCAGCCATTACTCCAGTCTTCAGTGTCACATGATCCTTCAGAAATCATTCTAATGTGCTGTTTAAGAAACATTTCTTATTTTTTATCAACGTTTTCACAGTTTTTGCTGTTATTTTTAAATTTAATAAATACTGTTTAATGAACTTTCTATTCATCAAAGATCACGAAATCAGAGAAATGCTTCAGCATATTACAATGATTTCTTAAAGATCATTCGAAGACAGGAGTAATGACTGCTGAAAATTCAGCTTTGCCATCACAGAAATTAATTACATTTTAAAATATACTAAAATTGAAAATAGTTATTTAAAATTTTAATAACATTTCACAATATTGCTGTATTTTTCATTATATAAATGCAGCCATAAGAGACCAATAACATTTAAAAATCTTTAAAGGGGTCATATGATGCGATTTCAATTTTTCCTTTCTCTTTGGAGTGTTACAAGCTCTTGGTGCATAAAGAACCGACTCCTGGTAGATGACTTGAGGTAATGACACATCTTGACGGCCAATCAGGAAGCAGTACGGGGTGATCGGGTCACGGTCAGCAACGTCAGAGGAGGTATACCCAAGAGGCTTTGAACTGAGGATACCTTCCACCTCAATCAGGACTGTCCTCAACACTTCCTCAGTAACAGTCTGGGCTCCGATAGTCACTCTGAGCGCTGCCTTGATAGAGCGGATCTCCCTCATAATGTTCTTTTTAGCAGCATCATATGACCCCTTTAATATTACAAACTTTTGGCTGCCACAGTATATCAGAATTGTTTTTAAAATGACATAAACTTACTGTCTGTCCCACAGAAGAAGCCAGATTATATTTAGCAGCATGTTTACAATCCAGGTTATGAAGAATCCATATGGCAACACAGCAGGACTGCAGTACATTGGACCATAAACAGTCCTGTGAGAACAATATACATAATCGTCTCATTAACTGCAACATGTTATTATTACAAAATCACATTTCATGCCACTTTGTTTTTTGATTACCATTTGATTCTAGCTCGCCGAGTTCTTACCTCCTGCAGGTAGTGAGGATGTAAACATGCATGAGCGACAGCCAAGTGTAGATGACACCCCAGATTGAGAAGGTCCATCCCGAGGGGGTGATTTCTGTATTGTATTTATCTGATATCGCTCCAGTGTTGTTCCGAAAAGGACCTGCGAATAGGGAAAAATAACATTGTAGCGATATATTTAACCAAAATGTAATTTAACACCTAATTCATCGCTCCAGTGTTGTTCCGAAAAGGACCTGCGAATAGGGAAAAATAACACTGTAGCGATATATTTAACCAAAATGTAATTTAACACCTAATTCATACTGTAAACAGTATTATATTTATCTTCTGTACATACCAGTTCCCGGTCCAGCAAGTGCGTTGAATATGATGCAGATGATGAAAATGACAACAGAAAGGACTATGAGTGCTAAATGGGCAACGCTGTGACCTCCCATTGTGAGCAGCTGAAATAAAGAGAATGTTCTGCTTGTTGTTATCTGAAAACGCACACACACACACACACACACACACACATTTATAGCCTATATCGCTTTGGATAAAAGCGTCTGCTAAATGACTAAATGTAAATGTAAATGTAAATATCAGCTCAAAACGAATCACCCTCACATATGCATTATTAGTAATAAGTAAATTAAACATAAAGACACAAAACTTGTATATTACCTACGTCTGAAACCAAGCGTTGAAGAGAGAGGGAAGTTACCGTAACACTCTGAGGACTGAATAACACAAATACTACACCCGTGGGACTGGTTTTATAAAGGGCAGGTTGTGTAACTGTATGACTACACGTGCTCAGTATGTCATTTGAATACAGGTGTACAAATGGCTGTCAAGGCTACCATTTTTTCTTTGCACTTCCGATGGTTATGAAAAATCCTTACATAACTAACTGATCTTACACTTTGAATTAACAAAAAAATAGTAGCAGATGGTGTAGGGTTTTTTCTTTTAAAATAATTTCTGTTTCCATTTTTTTAAATAAATAAATACAAAGTTTTATAAAGTAAAAACTACACTTTTTATCCACAGGTACATGTTTGATAACATGGCTTAGACATTAACTGTGTGTGTAATAATGTCTTTAACAGTTAAGGAAGTAAATGTACACATGGATGGACACATGATGAAGCATATATCTATTATGAAACACATCTGAACATGTGTTGAAGAAGTGATATTGCCACTTATATACAGTTTAGCAAAACATGTTTACAATCATGTTTTTGCAGAGTTGCTTAACCTGTTATACATTTTGCAAAGTTTGGTTTCATCTTAAAGATTTGCAGATTTCCTTAGAAGACCATGATTGACTGGTATGTGTGTTTGGTTTAATTCAAATGTACTTAACAATTCGTGTATCTTCAAGGGCAACCTTTTGCATATTAAGTTTCAGTACAAGTTGTTCTTTACCAAACATAAACACATAAAACACATACAATTAAAAAAAATAAAACAAAAAATAAACAACAAAAAAAACTATAATAATGTATACAATACATGACAAATATTGTAGTATTTTTTTTAAAAAGTTCCAAAAATATGTTTAAGATTGAGTTCATCCAGTAGTCACAGAAGCATCAGTAGTCACCTGGAGTCACATGCGTATGTAGAGTTTAGGAAAAACCTGCCTGAATTGTTTAATAAATTTAAAATTGTAATTTTTTTAACAAAAAAGAACCCGTTAAACAATTATTTACATCAAAACTATCCACGCCCTAACATGTTACATGTGCTGCAATACGAGGATCAAACCACTTCGCGGGGGATGATGAAATATGAACAGAGATACATTACCACAGGAAAGATCAATATTTTACGTTTAAACGTAAATATTCATCATATTTAGGCATATGTTTAAGCACAACAGCCGAGCAGCTCTTCTCTGTTCATATACTGCAACACTCTTTAGTCTATTCCACAAAAATGGTCTGTTCCAATGTCTCGTGATCAACAGGAAGGAAACTTTCCATTCAGTCAATTTTATCGTGAGAAGATATTACTGAGTATTTTTGTTACCTCTCAGTACATAAAATGCCTTTACTTTGTGGCGGAACAACTGAGGCGAAAGATGCGAATGAAGAGGTGCAGAAAATATGCGACGAGGTTGGTAACTTTTCATTGCAGATAAATAGAAATAGTGAAGTGATATGTCATACAACAACAACAAACTTAGTTCCCGTTTTTCCACAGATAAAGTCTCATGCCGAGGATAAAGCTGGGCGCAAGTTTGACGTTTTCGCCGCAAAAACTTTTAAAACACAACTTGTTGCGGGGACAAATTACTTCATTAAGGTAAGAGAAAATCCCTGTGATTTTATGAATGAACTTATAGGAGTACCCTGTTAATGTACTGAATATGTCTGTAAAAGCAAGCCTCAGATATAGTCCTTGACAGCTATAATATCTCTTTAAAATCATTGTTGTAAATGATCTGTTTCAGGTGCATGTAGGTGGGGATGAGTACATTCATCTACGTGTCTATAAAACTCTGCCCCATGCTGGAGAAAAACTGAAGCTGCACAGCATTCAGACATCCAAGGCTCATCATGATCCTATTGAATACTTCTGAAGCAAACTAAGCAAATCATCATAAATACAATACTCATGCAGCTCAATGTTGCCATTTTTACACAGTAAATGTTTACATTAACACCTGAAGAAGAACATTTATTACATTCAATGACCTTACAAAATGTATTCATTGACTTATGGGATCATGGGTTAACACTACCAGTGAAACTCACTGTGAATTAAGCAATCCTATAAATACATGCATCCATTATGTGTGTGGCATAGCTGTAAAATAACAGTTAATTTTCTCTCCCGCATACTGAAAACATCACTTAACTTGCATCTAGTTACATATGTCAGTAGTTTGGTCTTCACATTTTGGGCTTTGTAATTAGTGATACTAATGCAGTAAACACTTATTTTATACTTAACTGCCTATAATGTACATTATTTACATAAAATGCATGCATGGATGGACTGTTTGTATTATGTAAACAAAAACTTATTTTGGATGCGGTTAATCGTGGTTAATCGTTTGACAGCACTAGTCAATATACATAATCGTCTCTAACTGCAGCGTCTTATTATTACAAATCACACTTCATACCACTTTATTTTGTGATTATCATTAGTAAAAAAAATTTAAAATGTTATTAAAATAAAAAGTAAAATAAGTAAATAATTTATATTTTATAATATATTTATATTTTTGCCATGTATATAATATAAATGTTTAATATACATATAAATGTCTGGGTCTAAATTTTAGGATGGAAGGATCATCATATTTCGGAGTCTGTGGCATTTAAAAACTTAAAACCCAAAACTATTTCATGGCAATTCTTAACTGTTTAAGTTTTGATGAATTAGTGGTTAATTTGTTAGTATTTATCATTTGTACGTTTTTACATGATCTGCTCATAGTGATGGTTATGTTTATGGGTTGGCCTTCATACTAATATTTTCAAAAAATTATGCGTTTTCATAAAATTCACGCTGGAGAAAAACTGAAGCTGCACAGCATTCAGACATCCAAGGCTCATCATGATCCCATTGAGTACTTCTGAATGAAACTAAGAAAATCATAATAAATATTGCCTAAAATGCTCATGAATCTCACGGTTGCCATTTTACCCGGCTTTATTTTGTGATTATCATCTCGCTGAGTTCATAACTCCTGCAAGTAGCGGAGAGGATTTAAAAATGCATGAGTGACAATTGTATGCAAATATCAACCTTTCGCATAACAAGTTTCATTGTTTGAACTTGTGCTTTACCAAACCACATGAAAGCAAAGTCAAAAACAAGCAATATTTATGTATAAAATAAATGACAAGTACTGTTAAAAAATGTTTTAAAATATGTTCATAATTAATTCAGTTGATTCAGTAGTGACAGAAGCACCAGTAGTCACCTGGGTGTTCAGAGTTATGAACTGTACTGCAGCCAGCCACTAGATGGCGATTGAAATGTTTGGTTTCACTTTTCAGGACTTGAGAGGCACGCTTGTTCCAGTCAGTAGTGAGAAGAAGTTCCTGGGTGTTTTTGTTAGCCTTTTGTATTTAAAATGAATGTGCGCTGTGGTGGAACATCTGAGGCGAAAGATGCCAATGAAGAGGTGCAGAAAATATGCGATGAGGTTTGTAACTTTTCATTGCAGATAAATAGAAATAGTGAACAGATGCGTCACACAGTCTGACAGCGCCCGTTTTTCCACAGATAAAGTCTCACGCCGAGGATAAAGCTGAGCGCAAGTTTGACATTTTCACTGCCAAATCTTTTAAAACACAAGTTGTTGCGGGGACAAATTACTTCATTAAGGTACGAGAAATCCCTGTGATTTTATGAATGAACTTATAGGAGTACCCTGTTAATGTACTAAATATGTCTGTAAAAGAAAGCCTCAGATATAGTCCTTAACAGCTATAAAAGTGTTTAAAATCATTGTTGTAAATGATCTGTTTCAGGTGCATGTAGGTGGGGATGAGTACATTCATCTACGTGTCTATAAAACTCTGCCCCATGCTGGAGAAAAACTGAAGCTGCACAGCATTCAGACATCCAAGGCTCATCATGATCCCATTGAGTACTTCTGAATGAAACTAAGAAAATCATAATAAATATTGCCTTACACAATAAAGCACTATATAAATGCATCATTCATTCATTCATTCAGTACAAATTGGATATTTACATTAGAAACTGTATATGCCTTTTAAATTTTATGATAATCCCTCACACAAGGATCATCATTTGGGGGTCTGTGGCATCTAAAAGACTGAAAACCCAAAACTATTTTTTCTACTATTATATTTTAAGATTTGATGAATTCGTGGCTGATTTCCATGAATTTCTCATTCATACAATCTGCTTATGCCCTAGTGATGGTTATATTTAGGGACAGGCCTTCAAACTTACTTTTTTCTAAAAATCATACGTTCACACAATTCACATTGTACAAATTCATACGAAATCGCCAACTCGTAAAATAGTTATGTTTTCCCATGAGATAGGTTTGGAAAACCCCTGCTTTAACCTTTGACACAGGTGGCCACATCAACATCTGAGAACAACAGATCAATAATCTTTAAGTCCCGGAATAGCGGAATTTTCTGAATTCATAGGGGACCTGGTTACTAAACATGACCGATTTCTTTTAGTTGGTGACTTCAATGTCCATGTGTGTTGCCCCTCTAAACAGTTATCCACTGAATTCCTGAACACCATTGACTCTTTTAATTTGCTGCAATGGGTTAGCCATCCTACACATCTACAAGGGCACACTTTGGACTTAATATTGACTTTTGGACTGTCTATAACGGATGTTGAAGTGATTGAATGCCCCATATCCGACCACTTTCCCATTGTATTTATGATGTGTCTTCCTGAGATTCCCCAGATAACAGTCTCTGATATAAGACAAACTCGCGTATACTCGTCACATTTTTGCGAGGATTTTACTGCGCTTTACAATAAAGTGAACTCTTCCCTGTCGGTTGAGTCATCATTCTCTGATCTTGATGCTGAACACCATTTCAATTCTTTAAATACAGTCTGGATGGACGTATTAAACTCCATTGCACCTTTTAAGCATTTTAAACTAAAACCCAAATCAGAACCCTGGATTGATAATAACATTCGCTTAAAAACCAGAGGATCTAAAGCCTTTGAAGTGGCTGGTCCCACCCTCTGGAACAACTTACCAGTTCACATCAGAATGGCTTCCACTTGAGTTCAAGTCATATCTTAAAACACATCTTTTCTCTCTGGCTTATAACATGTAGTAATATGTGCCTTTGAATTGTTTTAATCTGCTTTTGTTGTTGTATGGATTTTGAATTGTTTCTATTTGTTTACTGATTTTCTCCTTGTTATATATTATTGTATGTTGTGCAGCACTTTGGTCGGCCTTGTTTCGTGCTTAAATGTGCTCTAGAAATAAAACTGAACTTGAACTTGAAGTCCCCTTCACTTCAAATGAACATTAATCACTATATTGCAAAGCAAATAAAAGACAACTTTTCAGCAATTGGAAAACATTTCATGGTTTATAAAATCTTTTGTACAATATTTATACAAAAAGGTTTACAGGATTCGGGCAACAGTAGTGTTTCTTCACAGTAAGAAACAAAGCCACAGAGCATACTGATGGAGGGTTTGTTGGGTCAGTGACAATGTCCAGGCTCAGCTCCAGGTGTTTTCCTCAGAACAACTGTGTAGTTTATGTTGACAACAGAGGTATTATTCACTTGATCTTGGGAGTGGTGTAGTGAATTCGGCACCTTTCATTGAAAACCTGGAGGAAAACATGATCATTAAGAAACACTCCTAAATGCAAACCACTCGGATCAATAGGAGAGACACTCAATAACTCACCTTCATACTCTGGTCATTGACCACTTCTTCAACATTTAGCTCAGACTGCATGAGTTTTAACTGTAGGGAAATGATAGAGAATTCAAACAAGATTTCAACCAATTTCAGGCCAAGTACATATAAATAAAGACATTACCTTAGTTTGCTCTTTCCTGAGTTGCTTGATTATTGACAAGTTGTCGCTATCTTTTGCCCTCTCTTCACGTAACTGCCCAACGACAGCAGAGGTCTCTGTAATACATGACTTTATTGCCTTATCTCTGGAAAGATGAGCTTCCATGAGCTGAAAGGCATAGGCAGTACAGAAAAAGGGCTTATAATTAATGCATCACAGAGTATGACAGTAAATCAGTAATACATCAAGAACAAAATTAGGGGATCTCTAATAATAATTTTAGATTATTAAAGAGTATTTTGCATGGTGATACATACAGATTCATAAAGTTCTTTGCAGGTCTGTGTGGCATCCACTTTGCCTGAAAAGGATGCAGTGGGCACAGTAGTATTGAGGGCATGGACAATTCTGTCATCTATGGTGCGCATCACTTTTAATACTTCCTACAGGACAAGAACAGAGATGTAAAGCCTATCAATGCAAATAAAAATTCAACTTTAAGTTACCATTTGTTCTTGTATTGTAAGTAATGCAATCACAGTTGTTCAATTGCTTTTCAACCCTTGCTGTGCTGAAAATTCTTTACCTAATTTGCTGTAAAAAAATTTTTTATTGTAAATCTCTGATTGTTATATTAACACAAAATATTGGATTCAATCTTTTTGTTAAGAAATACAAGACCTGTGCTAACTGAATGAAAACAAATTCATAAAAAGATTGAATCCAATATCCACTAGCATGAATTATTTCTGAGAAATGTTTGGTAGGCTGCTCACATTTGACAGGAAACATCGCTACTGTAATAACGAGGGGAAAAAACTTTTTTGGAAGTAGTTATACCCTGTGTGAGCGAAGTCAGTAAGTCTTAGTCCAATGAGATCAAATTAACTAGAATTTTCAGGAAAATGACCAGAACATATCAAGGATGTTGAGATTTGCCACCTTAAATATTAAGAAAACATCTTCCCCTCCATTTAGGCATTATTGATAGAACTGCTACAATTTTCTCTTAAAGTAAAAAACCTTGGTAACTATAACACGTTACGTTTTTTTTTTAAAAAGTGTAAAATATAACTATATATACATAGGTAGCTGACAACATTAAGCAGAGTTATCTATTTCAAACTACATTTTCTAATTCTTGTGTAATTAATATGCATGCAGCTTTAAAGTAAAAAACCTTGGTAACTATAACACGTTACGTTTAAAAAAAAAAGTGTAAAATATAACTATATATACATAGGTAGCTGACAACATTAAGCAGAGTTATCTATTTCAAACTACATTTTCTAATTCTTGTGTAATTAATATGCATGCAGCTTTATGGGTTTATATTAACTGAGGGACACCTAGAATACCTCAGAAACAATTAAATGAATTGCAAAAAAACACTGAAAGATCGTTCAAAACCGTACATAAATTTGTTTAAAAAAAAAAAAATAAAATAAAAAATGTCAAAAAACCTATATTATACACCTTCCACTATACGCTCAAATAAACTTTAACTGAAAATCCTGGTGCTGAAAAAAGTTAATGAGTCCAATAACCCACATATTATACATTATGTACTTGATGGCTTAAAAAAAATCCGTGTTTTGTATTGTGTATAAATGAAAACTCGTCTAATGCATATATTTATATTTACAAAGCACAGCACAGTTGCTTAATCGCTCATGTTTGCTCTGCTGCTCATTGAACCTCACTACTGCATGCAACAGACCACCGAGGGTCAGTCATTCCCGTTGACATCATAACAACGTGCTTATAAAAATCAGTATGCGCTTAAACATCCTGCATAATTTTATCCTGTCTGCTGACAACTTCGCACGTTTTACCTGAAACATTGAAAAGTCCTCACAGTTCAGAACTCCACCGGGCGCCGCCATAGTGGACTGAAGAGGTCCTGCGCGCTGAGGGTGACCAAATACTGCCTGAATTACATTGACTATAAAAACTGTTGTTTTTGACACTTACTAATCAACGTTACAGGTAATTATTGAGTGTTCCCGCAAGTTTTTACTATAGTGAGCCAACTTAACAGAGATAGTGTGACAGAATTATTTCTCACGATAAAAATAAGATTAAACGTGAGCAAGTAAAATCCACAGGTGATTTATGCGAAATGTTTTGCAGAAATGCAAATGTTTTTGTATTATATATTTTATTTAACTTTACTTTTAGTTATACCATTTTACAACTACATTCGTGATACGCTCATTTTACATACGTAACTTATGTCCTTAACAGGTTACAAAAGGTTTCTATTTCAGATAAATATTGTTCTTCTGAACTTTCTATTCATAAAATAACCCTGAAAAAGGATCATGTGACACTATGACTGGAGTAATGATGCAAAAAATTCAGCTTTGAAATCACAGGAATAAATTACATTTTAAACTATATTAAAATAGAAAACAGTCATTTTAAATGGTAACATTTTTTTTCAAAATGTTACTGTTTTTGCTGTACTTTGGATCAAATAAATGCAGGCTTGGTGAGCAGAAGAGACTTCTTTAAAAACATTAACAATCCTATTGTTATAAACTTTTTGACTGGTAGTGTGCGTATATATGTATATAAAATTTTACGGAAAAATAATTCAGTTGTGAGTGTGTGTGTTATGAATATTATAAAAATAATTATTACTAAAAGCTGTGGTATTGCTCTGTATGTCATCAAAAACATTTGTACTGTATTTTTATTTTGGTGGAATGGTTCTGGTATTTTGGCGGAAACCGTCATTTGAGTATAGCTTCATCAAACATTTAAATTAGGGATGCACCGATACCGATACTGGTATCGGTATCGGGCCCGATACTGGTCTCCTGTACTCGTACTCGTACTCGTTAAAATGCCCCGATACCAAACGCCGATACCACAGCATGTG